TAAGGAGGTGGAGGAATAGAGAAGAGGAGGGAAAATAATGAAAGGGAAGTGGAGGGTGAGCAGAGAGGGGGAGGTGGTGATCGAGTTGTGGGAGATATATACTGTATAAAACACTAGCCATTGTATAAAGCACTAGTCACTGTATAGTTCCATCCGGCATATAAAACACTTGGAGCTGTATAAAGCTTTACACAATGAATTGAATGATCTACGCAAGTGCATATTTCTCCATATTTCGCTCTCTTACCCACAACACAAGCTATGCAATGACCCGAATTTTTTTTAAATAAATATTGACTGTATAACATAAAAATTTTCACTCGGGACTGTCTGAAGGCAGTCTTGGCTTTGTAAGTCAAACATTGCTCGGGTGTTTACTGACGTATTGAGGTATATATACAAACTTAATGAATACAATAAAATAGTTTATTGACTTTATATATATATATATATATATATATATATATATATATATATATATATATATATATATATATATATATATATATATATATATATATATATATATATATATATATATATATATATATATATATATATATATATATATATATATAAACCTGCAGCGAATGACAGTTTTTAAAGTTAACTCATGTAAATATGCATGGAAATATCTATAAAAATAGGATGGGACTCTGAGCGAGGTTGCGTGTTCGAAAATACAGTAAAAATAGTGCGAGTGAAAACATTATATATTTTTTTTAAGTGAGCTGCGGCTGTGTAGCACCGGAAGGAGGAGTGTGCTCTTACTAAGTCAATGAACGCCAAACATAGACTTGGAAATACTGTAAAGAAACTGACTTTAAAGAGACTAAAATAACAAAACAACAAAAATTTTAGTGAAATTAAATAAAAAAATCGACTACAAGACGCTGTTGGTTCTGTGATAAGAAATGAAAGCACAAGGAAATCATTCGCAACTCAAAATTTACTCCCTGGCGGAAGTTATGAAATGGGAAATTCGTTTTTATTATTATTATTATTATTATTATTATTATTATTATTATTATTATTTTTATTATTATTATTATTATTATTATTATTATTATTGTTGTTGTTTTAATTACTTTATTGCTATTATAATTATTAGTTACTATTATATTATTATTATAATTATTATTATAATTATTATTATTATTATTATTATTATTATTATTATTATTATTTACTATTACTACATCAACCTGTCTCATGATAGAAATTATGGAATGATGTTGAGATCTTTCTCTCATTCTTAAAACTCATAAAATGTAGAGTTTTCATACAAGATGACTTTTTTCGAGTATTTTAAAGAAACTAAAACTGTTGTTCGGCAACAAGTTTACTTACCCATAATTTTTCGTACTGTTAAAATTATTCTTCTGGACTGCGTATTTTGTAACTTATTTGTCAGAAAACTATTCTGACGAAGCCGTAACGAAGCCACTTGTGTGTGTGTGTGTGTGTGTGTGTGTGTGTGTTACACTAAATAGGAATAATTACCAAATAGCGATAACTTCTATATATTTCTTTTGTAGATACTATTAACTGGCCATAATACACAACTCAATACTTTCATAGAAACTTAACCTAATCTACTTTAGGTATAATTTGGTTATTATAAGACGATAAAAGATATCTCAAACAAAGTTTAAAAATTTTACTGCATACGATTTTATTTCCCTTAAACTGTAGCAATAAAAATGAGAATGATCCCAATTAGGATTTTGTTTTTTCAGCTTAATCGGCGATTACTCCCGTTTATGTTAACTCACATACACATATACGCACATTCGTGAGTGTGTGTGTGTGTGTGTGTGTGTGTGTAAACAAATATCAAAAAATCTATATCAGTTTACATTAGCAGACATTTCTCATTTGAATAACAATCCTTATAATTATGTTGATTACTAATTAGACACCTACATGACTAATTACTTCACAATTATACTGTATGATCTACTACCCGAATCTTCTCTAGGTCTCTCACGGTCACAGATGTGTTCAGTACACCACGCTACACACACACACACAATGACAATGAAATAAAGTTATCCACAATTACTGACCTACTCATGTGGAATCAACGGGATTATGTTTGACTGAAAAATAAGGACTATAAGATTAAAGGCAGATCAAGAGGAAAACCATATAAAAATAATATACTAGTGATATTAAAAAGAAAATTACAATTGTTACTTATGGAGAATAATATTTTTTCAGAGTTTATGAGAAATTTTTTAAAATGAAGCTACAGGATTATATTGTTATCAAACTGGAAATGTTAACGAATAAAATTGATCTATAGAAAATGGTCACAGATACTTTGTTGATTTTCCCTAAGTTCTGTTCGTTGTTGTAAGATTAGGTAGTCTTCTTTCGGTGTATCTGAAGGAACTGTGAGGTGGATTGAGTAGCCATAGACAGATATGTTTATAAATACAGAAGACATCACAGAAAACAGTGTTGAATCCCCCGTTTATACCCACTGTTGTCATGAACTGATGAGATGATAATGTGTAAAGGACTAAATGTAACTGAGAAGAGAATAAGAGACTGAGAATGATAATAAATTGTGTGAAAGAGACAGAGAAGATTAAAAACAAAATGAGAAAGGAGAAGAAAAATATTAGTATAACATTTAAAGTCATTCTTCACACCCTGACACCACCGTTAGTAAAAGCCTGTAAATTGTAAGTGATTTTTCAGGTAATTGATTTCTTTAACACGTGTCAGGTAGACCGATGCTCCTATGATCATGATGAATCAATAATTGTTTCGTAACTCTTAATAAATCCGGATATGTGTTTACTGGATTCATTAACACAAATGACGTGTTTACCCCCTCTTGTCATCAGCGTCCTGAAGCGTATCAATGTGTGTGTATGTGTGTGTGTGTGTGTGTGTGTGTGTGTGTGTATGTGTGTGTGTGTATGTGTGTGTGTGTGTATGTGTGTGTGTGTGTGTATGTGTGTGTGTGTGTGTGTGTGTGTGTGTGCGCAAAACAAGGATTCTATATCTGTATGTCAGTGGATTCTCAATATGTTAATTTGTGTAGTATAAATCTATATATTTCTTACACATATTCTTTTTCAGAATCTTATGAAACCAGTGTCAATGAACGTTAGTATAATCAATTAGTGTATAAAGGTGTATTTATACCTGTGTTGGAGGGGTGACGCGTGTGTATTGTTTCATCAGCTCTTTCATTAGGGTGTATGTCTCATGGTGTATGCAGCAGATTGAGTATATGCAAGTCTGCGTGTAGCGGTGATCAATTTGGTTATCAAAACGTCCATTAGCCTGCCAGAATATATCCATTAATATGTGTGTGTGTGTGTGTGTGTGTGTGTGTGTCTGTGTGTGTGTGTGTGTGTGTGTGTGTGTGTGTGTGTGTGTGTGTGTGTGTCTGTGCGTGTGTGTGTTAATGACCTTGCTTGTTTGCCAACCAATACGTGTGAATTTCTGAGAATACATGAGTCAGGATGTACACCGATATATGTGTGTGTGTTTGTGTGTGTGTGTGTGTAACAAATATGTAGAAATGTTTACTTAATACTACGTTAACATATAATACGATTCATAGCAGTGTGTATTCGTGTATCAAAATATGTAGAGCATTGAATCATTATGTATAGGTTTGTATATAATCCTTTTTATGAATACCAGTTAGTATTTATTTAACATCTATTCCATCCCAGTATGTATAACAGTGTATTTGAGAAAGAATATAACCTATCCGTGTACAGTAAACAATGTGTAATACAGTGTAACAATATGTGTATCCCAATAAATTTTAATAAAGTGTAAGAATGTGTAAAAAAATGTGTATATAAGAACATATGAATCAATAAGGCAGTGTGTGTAGAAATGTCCATAGGCCTTCTACTGTGTGATAAGGTGTGAAAATGTGTCTATACTAGTGTGTGTGTGTATGTTCCAGTGTATTCAGTAAGTATATCTGTCCTCCAGGCCAGTGTATGTTTACCAATAAGCCTCTATGTAAGAATTCATATACCAATACAAAGGTTCCATCAGCTACAGCAGTATTGGATTGTATGTATGTATGTATGTTTTCTTATAGTGTGTGTGTGTGTGTGTGCGTGTGTGTGTGTGTGTGTGTGCATGTGTGTGTGTGTGTGCAGGCGTAAGTTGCACATCAATCCAGGTGTGTCAGTGGACCTGCAACAACTTCTGAATAACAAATACATACACACGTGTCATATTCCACTATTATGTAAATTTTCCTACAATCGTCTCAGTCTTGTGCCTCAGTATTACTTGATGTGTGTCAATAATATTAATACCATTATATGTGTGTGTTTTACTGACCACTAGAGTATACTACTGTGTTCTACTCTTCGTTGATATTAGTGTTTCCAGTCTGGACACCATTAAGCCTGATTGTTCACGTATGCACAGCCTTTAATAAAGCTATGAATCTTAAGGACTCGCTGTGTCAAGTGGTCCGAACACCAGAAATCCAACATGCACTTGTGTGTATGTTTCTAGATTACATGTACACATAATAAGCACAGTCACACACAAGAGAGTCTGTATATCAAAAAAGGGTGTATTTAAAGGACTAATACATCCATAACATTAATTCTTCTAGAGCCCGTCCAACATTCGCTCTACAAAGTCCACATTGTTTGAGTGTACGATTAATGAGCTCCCCAAAATAAACCCTAAATGCACATATGTATGTACACCCATGTGTGCGTGGGGGGTGTGTGTGTATGTAAGTGTGTGAGTGTGTGTGTGCGTGTGTGCAGAGGTGGTGAGAGTCGTGCATTCCACCACCGGGCCTGGGAGTGAGTGTGGCGGGGTGAGCGGGGGCAGCACCGGCCGTGTGTGACGTCTTCGTACGTTGGGGGCGGACCCACACTAAATTCTCATCGACGATTGGCCACCAGCCAATCGTGGGGGGCGTGGTCACCTTGGCTCCACCCACAAGGAAGTGATTACATCGCAAATGCTCTGTGTGTGTGCGATGCTCGGGCAGCCTGGAGACTCGAGTCTTAGTGGTGTTCTATTTGGACCGGTCGTCAGTTGTGTTGAGGCTGTGCCCGGTTACCTCATCCACCTCGTACGCCCGCAGTGACGATTAGGAACGAACGATCCCCCGCTGTCTTCTACCACCCCGTCGATCTCATCGATTGGGTGATTAGCTGAGAGGCAAACAAGGATTGGTAGAGACAGTCTGTTGAACCTAATCAGCGCAATGTAGTCAGGGAGAGACTCGGTGAAAGCCTAAAGCTCTAACAGACAAATCCCACATGAGGAGCCCCGCACCACAGGCAGGGTCGTCGGTCGGTCCGTCTCGCACTGACCACTCCAGAGGAACCTTTACCTGTACCACCTCTCACCACCACCTGTGTTGCACCTGGACTGTACCGTTCTCAAGTGTACCGTGAACCCAAAGAGTGAATCACGATGGATATGAGTGGGATGGACCAAACGGGTCAGGCGGCCGCGGGGGGCTACATGAACCGATGGTACGACGGCACAGAGGGGGGCCACTCCGGCCTACACCAAGACTACTACAACAGTATGGCTCAAGCGATGCACTGCGCCTATGGCAACAATATGGCCGGTACGTGTTAGCTGTAGCACTTGTCCCTTTAGTGTGTAATAAACATATTATCATCACACAAAGCATATTTCTACCATCCTACAATAACTGTTTATGAGTGGTGCACAGAATCTCCCTCCTCACCCGTGACTGCTCCCTGAATTAACCCTGTAACATATTCCCTAAATGCCATAGTCCCTTGCCCACCGCATATCCTTCTCGGAAATATTACCCACAGAGGTGTAGACACAAGCCATTAGCTACCACCTCTACGGAACAGATCCTGGCTTAACACGGCATCATATAAGATAATCAAGCCTCCGGACACCCGCTTCCTGGGCTCCGCTACGCCCACACTTTAGCGCCCACGCCCATAATGAGCGGTCCTTCGCAGCGGTGGGCGTGCGGGCTCCGGTCGCCAATTACCCACTACACTACATCCCTTACCTTCTACCTCCCCCACACCACCCCTGCCCACCCCCTCCCATACCCTCTCCCCTACCCCGCATAGTACCCGGCCTTCCTCGTGCCCGTAGGGGGAATAAAGGAAATGAAGAGACTAAAACGAGGAACATAGCCGAGAAGATAATTACACAACCCATTCACCTCACCCCTAAACCATCACATTAAATATGTGTCAACAACTGAAAATATTTAATAACAAACCTCTAATAAAAGTTTAAACAAAGATACTCGGCGCTATTGTTTGCACTAAACTGGATCTCCCACAACGACGTGTAACCCAACATCAGGATCGAGTAGTGATACGTATGGGAGGGCAAAACTGGGGGCCCCTAACGAGCCAGTGTAATGGGTGACGGCAGATCACTGGGTTCGAAATGGGATTTATCAATTTACATCACTGGAACCCGGTATTTTGTAGGATACAGCCAGGGGTCGGGGCTATCATTATCCTCCACCGGGTTTTAGGACGTAATGAAGCTTGATAGGAAGTGTTTTTCGAACATTTGGGACTTGATGACAGTCAAACGGCCTCGAACCTCTTACTAAATTACAGGATGGAGTCGTCACATTACCTACATTAATAAATTAAATACTCTTATGGTTACAGGTGCATATGATTAATTTCCTGCTGTATTAATTTATTTTGGCACTTACATCCACTATGTGACGGTGAACATATGTTAACATCCATGAAGAACAAAGGATGGTGATATTTACACCTGTCATGCCTCTCTAATACACTGAACAATATTCTTAACCTTAGAATTACGGAAAGCAAATTACACATTGTATATTGTTCTTTAATGTTTGCCTTAGAGCACGAACACTGTATATATTTGTCAAGCAATTTATCTCTCGTTGGGTTCATAGTATAAGCCCGCTAGTGTACTACGGAATACACAGGAGAGGAGTAATCTATAATACAGAGAACAGGTGTATAATACGGTCTTTCACTAATAGTATTCATAATTAATAGGAGTATATTACCGATCTTTCTCGTATAAAAGATATGGATTCCGTAAGTACAGAAGATTAACGAAGCTTTTCTATTTGCTTGGGACGGCATTCAGCTGATAACAATCACAAGTATTTAATGTATTCATAAACCTTTGACATACACCAAATAAAAAAAAATATTTACAACTTAACATATTAACAAATACTCTCTGTAGTGTCGAGACTTGGATAATAAAATGAAAATAAATATAAATTTCGTCTAAACATAAAAAAATTCTTGAGGATTTTTTGTGAAGAATATAACACGACACTTGATGATACATTCACCTGTAGGAATATTAATTTTAATTACAAGTGTCCTTTAAATCCTTCATAAACATAATTAGTTGTTACTTTATTTACAGGTAATCCAAAAGTACTTTATTATTGTCACGGCAATGAGCTGCGTTAGGCGTTTGTTTAATATTCATTATATAATAATTATTTGTCTTTAGTGTCATGGGTCATTTATTGGTGATTAATATTATTATGACAGATGGGAATAGATATGATGGATTAGCTGTGTTATTATTATTATCATTATTATCATTATTATTATTATCATCATTATTATTATTATCATCATTATTATTATTATCATCATTATTATTATTATTATTATTAGTTTTGTTATTATCATATTTATAAATACTACATTGTTATAAATTTTCTTGCCATTCATCATCCCATCATTCTAATTAGTACCATCATCATTATCATTACCACCATTATTGTCAGTACCATAATTATCCTTATCATTATAATCATTATTTCGTATTCATATGATAAGGAAATTAGTATAGGCATAACTGCTTGTATGATTTAAGTAATAGATTGATAGTAATGGTGAAGAAAATATTACTGATTATTACTATTGGCAGAGTTACTATTATTATCATTGTTATTCCTCTCTTATAATTTATACGGTACTAAATTATTGTTTTCCTTGTTCTTCTTCGTCTTCACTTATTATTATGATTATTTATTTTTTTATTATTATTTAGATTATTATTATTATTATTATTATTGTTATTATTATTATTATTATTATTATTATTATTATTATTGTTATTATTATTATTTAGATTATTATTATTATTAGCTGCAAGAGTAGTATTAATATTAGTAATAAATGTAATAGTAATAGTACCGGGCAAGCAGTAATTCTATTAATGACTATTATTTTAGTTAATATTAAGATTATAATTAATATTCCTAGTAATATTATTGTAATATCAAGTTCTTTAAGATACAAATTTCTGCAATTTCAATAGAACAAAGGGAACAGTTTTATAGAAATAGTAGTGGCAGGAATAGTACTAGTTGTAATATTACAGAAATAATGATAGTAGTGATAGTAGTAGAAATAATAAAATAGTGATGTTAGTAGTATAATTAATAGAAGTAATAGTGATAATGATAACAACAGTAGCTATAGTAGTAAAATAATAATAGTAATTGTAGTAATAATAATAGTGACTAGTAACCAAGGGAACGAGAAAACATGTCTGAAACAGAAGGTCGTTTCATTCTCCTGTAAGTCTGAGAGCTTGACACTACTGGTATCTGTTGCATTGAACGTGAGGGAATTACTTAGTAGTCAGTATCACTCTTGGTCTTGCTGACAATTTTACTTTCAACTTTTTTTGTGTTGTTATTGAGGAAGAGAAATTTATCCTAGAGATTTACAGAAAGCTTTGGTGATGTAGTTTATTTTGTATTTTCATGTTGTAATATATATTTCTGTATAGTCGTAGTTTGTTTTTTCTTCTCCTGGCTGCTCTACCTATTGCTTGCTCTTGGAGATAATTGAAGAACTTTATAGAATTTCCAGAATTGATTCAAAACGTGACAATAATATGGAAATATTTCCAGAAATCTTATCTATATTTTAGACGAATCAATATTAATTCAAATATAAAGTCAATTACCACATAATATATACTTTCTGGTTATTTTATTTGATATAATCTAATTTTCCAAATGGAACAGTAAGAATAAAACTTGATAATTATAGCCTATGATCCAGAATATAGGCTGTAACCGGATGAAAAACCTGCATTTCATATATGAACTGGAGGTTACATCTAGGCATTCAAAACTGGTTGAACAAATAACGAGCTGCCTAGTGCGTCAATTAACGAGGATATCATATTGAAGGCGGCGGCGTGTTGGTCATTATAACACATGTACTTGATTAATGATAACATCGCTAAGATTACGGTCTGGTTGCCTCCATGACGGATCCTCGCTTCGTGTTGGTCATTCATCAACAATCAGGGGTCTGTTAACTAGCAGGGGTTCAAGATGCTTAATATTAATGTATACTTTTTAGTAGCAGGGAATCAGGTGTTTGTTACTAGCGAGAGTTTAGGTAATTAGTAGTAATGAATATTTTTGCTAGCAGGGATCAGGAATTCAGAAGTAATGATTGATTTTACTAGCGATGGTTTAAGTGGCCAATAGCAAGGATTCAGGTGATTAATAGTAATGAATAACTTTTACTAGCAAGGTTTTAAGTGATCGATAGCAGTAAGAAACTTTGATAGCAGAAGTTTGGATGTTCAATATTAATTTATATATTTTACTGGTAGGGAAACAGGTGTTCATGAGTTTTAAATAGTTTTTACTAGCAATGGAACAGATGCTCAATACAAATGAATGAATATTATTATCAAAATTTGAAGAACTTAATAGAAAGAGAGATTTCCTTTTGTGGTATTCAGACACTCACTAGCAATGAATAACTTTAACTAGCAATTGATTACTTACTCAATAACAGTGTATATAGCCTTTACTCGCAGGAGATTATGTGCATATTAACAAAAAGGACCTTAGTACTATAACGGAATCGGGTGTTCGCTAGCAATCGAGAATTAACTAATAGTAATAGTGGTAGAAGTATTTACCATTGAAGCTGAAAAATAATAGTTCTAGTAGGAGGACAGGTATTACCGAGTACTGTATTACATTATGTATTGCTATCAAATGATCAGGTAATAACTAGGAACCAGGAATCTATTGCTAGTAATAAATCAACGGTTGCTATCAATAAACTACAGTGGCCATAAAGAACACTTACTAGCAAGATATTAGGTACTCAATAGCAATACCCCACCTTTACTAGTAGATTAAGTGCTAGTTAACAATTCAAAACCTAAGGCCAGTGGCAAATAAAACGACGAATTCTATTTACAATATTGCTAGCAGAAGATTTTTTTACTAAATAGCAATGAGAATTTTTTTTTCCTAGTAGATACAAATTTTAGCTAGCAATGAAGGATGTTACCTCACTCTTACTCTCCGCGGTCACTCTTGCCAATATGACTACTAGCATTAATGTCATTTCTTCTCCACTTGTTGCTATTGTCTCCTAGTTTTATTATTTCTATCAATGTTATTGTTATCCCGTTATTATCAACCTATTTGCTTGTGTTATGCTTTTTATACTGTTATCATCCATGTTATCATTTTTGTTATCGGCATTGTTGATGTTCTTATTGATACTCTAAGTTTTGATGGTAAGTTATCTAGTCTGCCTAAGAGTAAGCGTTATCGGG